CACTTGGCAACACTGGTGCACGTTACCACTTCTTTCCACTCCATCTCTAATCACCCACACCTTTCTGCTTTCTCACTCCATATTTTAAAATGTTATGTAATGTAATGTTGAAGGGATACAACTTTGCTCATTTATACTTGTACTTATCACAATCTCCCTAAAAATACTTAGGTTTTGTGTTTATTCAAGACATCTTCAGGTCATGAGACCCACTAATCCCCCACCCAAAAAAGGGTGACCTGACATTCCATCAGAAGGTCAGTAATATGAGACCACTAATCCCTCACCCTACCTCCACCTGACATTGAGTCAGGTCAGGTCTCCCCCCCCCCCACCCGAGAAAAAAAATAATTTAACTTTCATCTTTATTCAAGAAATTTTCAGAAAATTCTCTCGATTTTCACCCTCGAGAATTTGTTTCCTAAAGCAGAAAATTTTTGGAAAATTCCGTCTTTGGGAATGATTTTCTGAGCAAATTTCAATTCCAGCTATAAGAGATTTCCGGGTTTGAGGGATTCTGGCTAAGGAGATATTACTGTATTAGAAAACCATACTTAAGTAAATGTAAAAGTACCAAAAAAAATTTACCACTTTTTAAAATGTAGATCCCCAAAAATGTTACTCGAGTACAGTATTCGAGTAAATTTATTTTGTTACTTTGCAACTCTGGTCTTAAGCTAGTAACATCATCACCTACACTCTGGAAACTACCACTTGTGAAAAATATCAAAGGTATCAACACAGACATATCAGCCAGAGTGTACCCCCTATGTAGCAGTAGGCGGTCATCAATTTGTAGAGGGTCCAAGGGATCCCTACACACCCTTTCTCTCCGGACTGCACAGTCATGAGTTAAAGCAATCATTAGTTACATCTTAACAGCTTTACTCTCACTAGTGACAAACTTAAGATTTACATTTGGCAGCTGTGTGGGTCTTGGTACGGGATGTATAGTAGAGAAAACAGGTGTTATTCCCGCCTTGTGGAAACTTACAGGTGCTTGGTGGCCATCATTACTTTTGCTGTACAATAGGTTGGGTTACGGTCACTGTAAGCTGTTAGTGACTCATGTGTTCAACCTTATGGTTGATCGTAGGGATTTACGGTGACTTAGTCATTAGTGAACCTGCCCCGAGTCACAACATGTGCTTTGGCCCCAGTATCCACATGATCATGAAACAATGCACAGCTTTTGTTGACATTTGTTGATGGTGGGAAATAATATATTGTTTTCCTGGACCAACACCATGGTGAGTAAAGATGTATCTCTGCTCCTGAGGTACCACGTGATCCTGAAACTTGGACATGAAGCTCGCATGGAACAAGGTGAAGGTGGTGCGACTATACTCGGTCAGCTGGCCCTCCCCCAAGTAACTTAACCTCCTCGTCCTGTGTAAGTTTTTTGACTCCTTAGGGATCAAGGGGGTGGCAAGGGTCATCCACAGACCAGTGAGTAGTGGCCTTATGGTCTTCATGGAATGGGAACAGGCCAGCAAGTATATGATATCTCGGGAATCAACAGCGTTAAAATACAGGTTTAAGATTACACAAAAGATAATGTGGGGTGGGGATGTAGCTACAGGGACAGTCTAACTTGGTGACATTCCAAGTCCACTTCACACACACACACACACACACACACACACACACACACACATATACAACCATGCTCTTCATTTTTCATATTTTATGGCAACATGTAATCCCCACAGATATGTACTGTACTGTAAAGTTTATACTACAGTGAGTTCTGCTATAACGCGTGTTTTGATAACGCGAATTTGCTCTAACGCGATTTATGAATTAGGAACGATATTTGTATAACGCGAACGCTTGTTTGCTATAACGCGATTTTTGCTTACTATTTCTCCAATTTTGTGGTATTAATTGTGAATATGGTAAAGAAGAATATCTCCAAGAAGCGTTCTGGTGATAGAATTCCCGGTGATGATCGTAAAAGAAAGGATATAACACTTGAAGAGAAGCTCGATGTTATCAACCTCAAAATCACCCTTCTCCCCCATCAAGTTACATTCATATTTTTTCAAGGTAAAATGTTACATTTACTGTATGATTTCATTATTAGATATGAATGTAACATTTATTTAGACTGTGCTATCCTTTGTGTTAGGCTAACTACTAAATTTTTTCGATTTCGAGTAATCTGCACCTAACCCTATTTTCTCCATAAGCCCTGTTATTTCTATTACGCGATTTTCTATAACACGATATTTTACAAGAACACAATTATCGCGTTATAGCAGAACTACCTGTACTACAGTATTTAATTTATATATAGCTGCTGTATTTTATATGTATTTGATTCAAATTTAATTAATTGTATAATACAGGTATTGTTTAGTGAAGGAACAGGCAACTTAGTTAGGCTTTCACAAGTGTTATTTGCGACCATGGAACCTAACCCCCTGTTTCCCATAAGCTTTTAGTCTTGCCAACTGCAGATTTGCCAACCACAGGGTTTTCAGGAACCTAACTCCCACGGTTGGCGAAGGACTTTTGTATACCAAACACAGTTTGATATTGTACATAATTTTTCAGACTCCTTTTATACTGAAATCCTCCCTTGCTCTGCAATTACAGCTCCTCCCCAACTTACGATGGGGTTAGGGACCCAAATCCAGGTTATAAGTCAAAATGGTCGTAAGTCGAAAATGCTTAAATAATACATAGAAAACCTAAAATGGGTGTCTCTTTTTCTTCTCAGCACCAAAAAACTCTCACTTTTAAGCTTGCCAGCCATTTTAAAGTGAATTACAAACAAAAATTTTGTCTGTACTGACGGTGGGACTCGGAAATATGTAATTTGACAAAATTTAGGTACGACTGAGGCAGGTCGTAAGTGCCAGTGGTTATAAGTCGATTAGGTCGTAAGTCGCGGAGGAGCTGTATTTTGGCAAAGAGTAGAAATACTGTACAGTAATACCCCGATTTACGCGGTTTCGCTTTACGCGATTCTACGCGGTACCTAGCCAGAACTGGAATTTCATTTTACGCAATGCATCTACTCGTATACGCAGGTGAAGTATAATTTTTTATTTAGCTCATAAAATTCATACAAATTACCCAGCCAGAATATAATTTACATTGCTGGAATTCTTACAATATGATGATCATTTTGAATATAAACATCATGGATTTTGCATTAGACATACAAATTTTAGATCTAATGTAATAATTTGGTTTACACAAAGCAAATATTTTATCTTTTGTGCAAAGTATATGAAGTTTACATTCAAAATATTCCCTGACCTGCAAGGAATCCAGAAATGTCAATTATATTATCCTAACTTTAGTCTGAGGTATTATTTATTACTATATGTTAAAATCTAGTGTTTTCACCCAAACATTTCTCAGAGAGGTAGGAGCCAGTGAGCTGGGAAGAGGGGGGGGGGGGAAAGTTGAGTCCATTATTAGAATGGACATTAACCTGGTGACTGTATTTCTCTTAAATACTAATTTTGTGTGCATACCATCATAAAATTAAGATGTTATTTTTACTACAACATAGGTATTGTGTCGGAAAAAGTGGAGTTTGGGGGGAATTAATCCCATATGTTCTGTTGTTCACTTTACGAGGTTTTCACTTTCCGCGGTACCCTGTGGGTTCAATTGACCACGTAAATCAGGGTACTACTGTATATATAATATTTTTTCTTTTATTTTGTTCTAGTTTCTATTATATTTATGGTGAATCATATACTATAGGATGCTGATCATACGAGAATGTAATAATGAATCGGTAATAAAAGCAAGTTCAAAGCTGGTGCACACAGCAATGCCCCCATCTCCCAACTGGTCACATATGCAGCACTTCTCTCCCATTGCTCTTGGCTCTTGTTAAGCATACAATTAATATGAGTACACCACTGTGTTCAGTGAGTAAATCCTGTCCTTTTTGTAAGAAAATTTCATAATTTTACCCATTTTTAAAACTCTTTATCTATCCTCATCATAGCAAATAGTCTATGTAAAGGTTCACCTAGGAGTTGCAACCCTACCTTGCAGTCCATGAGGGCACTTGGGAATTACCTACTCCTATTTTGTAAAAGTATTTTGGTGCTAGGAAGGGGATCCAGCATTAAAATGCATTTCAAACTTGTCTGAGGGCAACTATGATGCCAGATTTGTGTTTTCTCCTTGTCTCTGCTGCACTTTTATTGGTTGGTGTGTTAATTATCTCTCAGGAAGGTGCCATGTGTGTATTTTATGGGCTGGTACTACCATAGAACAATAATGATAACAATGAAAGATTGTGGATCTGATAATTAATCTTGTTTGGTTTTAGTGAATATTAACCTTATAGAGAAGTTGAAGCATAAAGGCAATTCCACAATTGATACATAATTGAGGTAATTAGACATACACAAATGGGCTGCTCTCAAGAGCACTTGGTATCAGAGGTCTCAACAAATCATGAGCCTTCCTGAAGAAAATTCAAGATAAGGTGCCTGAACCTGATCCTTTGCTGGGATATCATCAGGATGAAGATATATTGCAGGAATGTTTTGGAGTTAATAAAGTTAGCTTTTAATTATCATTTCTATAAGGTGCAGGTGCTCAGTTTGTTGCATTGGAGTTTTGTTTTGCCACTTTCATGTTTGTAGCTGGTTTTAGATACATGAGTCTTGGTGATGACTACAGAACAGATTGAAAATCAAAGATTGATTGAGAAATTCCCATTTAATAGCCTTTTCAGGGAAAGGAAATGCTGAACCCTTTCTCTTCCCATGGATGCTATCATGGAGATCAACTGGACAGGCTTGGTACAGGAAATCCAGTAGGGCTAGGTTTTAGTGCCATTCATCTGTGGCATGGGTTAGATCGAATAACTGAATACAGTATATCTTATTCTTGCTGCCATAAAATGGGAATTATGTAACTTAAGTTTTTTGATTAGCAATAGAGATATTGAAGGAATGTGTTTATCATTCACACTAATGACTAAATTCTCATTATGTATATAATTTTTAATATTGCAGGGAATGGTACAGCAACTTATGTCAGGGCCATCTGTGGCTTTAGAAATAACAAGTATACATGGAGATGAAACACCAATCAAGTTCAGAGAATTTGTAGGACCAGCTGATCCAGTAAGTCTTACCGTGGTAACGCGAGTCATATACAGTACAGTACTCCCTTGGTTTAATATGGTTTTCTTATGTATTTCTTTAGTTTTAACACTGAAATAGTAAGCAACTTTCAAACATAGATTGATGGAATTTCTCATAGATCGTGCTTTTGTGCTGCTCTAGCTATAAAAGGGATATTTTTATTCACACTTATCTCTTAAACACCTATATGAAGATTCCTTCACCAATGACTTTTCTTGTCAGCAGATAGCTGTTAAGTAAAAATTATCAATATTTCCCTTATCTTACAGTCAAGTTATTTTATTAATGAAATATTATATAGGTAATTGTAAAAATCTCTCCTTATCTCTTGTCAGTTATGATTTTAATGTTTGCTTCATAATTTTTTTCCTTTATTGACATGTTCTGTTGTGAAAAAAAAAAAAAAATTAATTAAAAAAAATCTTGAAACAGGTTGTAGCCAAAGAGTTGCGACCCCATAGTATCAGAGCCAGATTTGGGGAGGACAAAGTGAAGAATGCAGTACATTGTTCAGATCTTCCAGATGATGGCCCACTGGAGGTAAGTGAGAGTTGAAAGTACAATGAACTCGTGAAAGAACATAGAAGATGCAGTACACAAAATGAAAATAATATAGAATTAACATTACAGTTGAGTGTCAGAGTACGTTGGGGTTATCGGTATGTTCCTGGGTCTCTTTGCCCAAGTGCAATTTAACGTATATTTATCTCCCCCTTATATAATCCCTTTTTTATACCGATTGCGGTAAAATTCACCAGTAAAGAAAAACTAAATGAGCTTGAACGCCCGTGAGATGTTCAATGAAAAAGTACGAGAGAGAGAAGGAAGCCAGAGTTATGGTTGTTTTTCAACTTGTAAATTCGGGTAGATATACATAATTTCCTTCATTTTTATTTTACTCCATTACATGCATACACACTCTTTCTTACAGAATGTCCAAAAATATAAAAGTAATTATCATAAGGTCAAAGACATAAAGGGAGTAAACATTTCTTCGTGTGCCAGAGTTAGCACACAGAGTGGGTGAGGGGGGAGCAGCGTGGGGGATCTTAGCTGTTTGTTGTCTCCTGTATTCAGTGTGTAGTGAAATGATTGCCAAATAGCAATGCAGTATTCTTTTATTTTATTTATTCCTGACTAAACAGAAGTGTGTGGCTGCTGTGCTGTGTGTATACCACATCACATGGGGGAAGGAGAAACTTGGGGTTGGGTCTTGGGTACCTGAACCAATTAGAATAAATCCCATAGGTTCTGTACTTTCGTTATCGGCGGGGTCCCAATTAGGCGCGATAACCAAGGGATGACTGTACTGTACTGTACAGTGGGGTATGCTATAACGAACGTAATTGGTTCCAGAACCTCGTTCGTTATAGCATTCGTTCGTTATAGGATTAATCCGTTCCAGGCCCCCAAATACAACCGCTTAACACTGAAAAAATTCTGTGGAAAATGTAAAAAATACAGTACTCTATCTTACCTTAGTATTATTCAGCATGCAGGTACCCCTAAACACTGGCACATCACTATCACTTCCACTGGGAGTCTTGGCTTTAAGGTCCTCAAACAATTGTCTGGCCTTCTCACAAATTATAGCTTCACTAATGTTACCACCTGCCATTTCTTTCTCCTTTATCCACACTAAGAGTAAATTTTCCATCTCTTCAATCACATTACACCTTGCTTTGCTAAGTCTAAAGATTCCCTTAGCCACTTGCACAGTTTTTAACTCCTCTTTATTCTTCAAAATCGTACATATAGTCGATTTAGCCATCCCATAGTCATCACTAAGTTTCGCAATGCTCCTTCCATTCTCACGTTTCTTTATAATTTCTTTCTTAGTTTCAAGGGTTATTAGCTTTCTCATTCGCATTGGACAACTCATTGTTACAATTGTATACTTGTATAACAAAATAGTTATACAAATAATGCGAATTTCCACATCAAAAGACGAAATTTCAACAATAACAGTGGTGCACTGGCTACACAATGAGACAAAGATGGCGCCTGACGCTCTTGTTGTGGGTCGCGGTACAACAATATTCATGCGCCAGGCGAAATAGTCCCGTATTCATCCGCGTTCGTTGTAGGAGTTGCGTTCGTTATAGCGTTCTCAATTTTATAGGTAAAACCGTTCGTTATAGGAATATTCGTAGTAGGATCCGTTCGTTATAGCATACCCCACTGTATATACTTGTGACACTGGCCAGTAGCTTCTGGTGTTATGGTACAGGGGTACCGAGTGACAGCACTAGGATCCCGCTTCCTCTATCAAGGAATAAACAATTAAAATTTAAATTGAAAAAAATAAACATTCAAATAATGGGACTTGGCAAACCTAGATGGACCTAGAGCGGGCACTCACGTATGCATCGCGTATTCTTATAGATTGTGCGGCCAGGCGTACGTTATCTAGTGAATTTAGTCAATATTGTACAGTAACAATGGACCTAAGTGCAAACCTGTATTGTACATGTACTAAATGATTACGGTACTAAAATTGTTATGTCTATTGCAAATATAGCTTGTTTATACAGGTATTCAAATAAATTACTATCTTACAAGAATCCCTCCAATGTAAGTTATATTCACCCAGGTCATTTGGGTGGCAAATTATGAGAAGAGCTTAGTCACTCTTAAGTAATGATAAATAAACATGCAGGCAGGCCTTCAGCGCCAACTGTCAAATCTTATCTCAAATAAATATACAAACAAACGCCAGACATTCTGTCACCTCACCTCCCGCCCCCTCTTCCCACCCTGGTGATTTCTTTATGTTTATTTTATATAATATCTCAGACTAAAGTTAGGATAATATAATTTGCATTGCTGAAATCCTTGCAAGACAGAGATTAATTTGAATATAAGCGTCATATATTTTGCTTAAGATATAAAAATATGTAGTACATTAGTGTACAATACTGTAGTACATTTTATAAAAAGTTTATCAACTGTATTTTTGGGGAGATTTACATAGATATCTCATTTATTTTCATCCATTTACATGCACACACCATACTAAAAGAAACGTAATAGAAATAAATGACGTTAGTGCAAAGCTGGAGTGCACATGTACTAATTTGATTATTGTACTAAAATTGTTTTGTCTAGTGCAAATTATAGCATGTTTATATTCAAATAAATCAGTATCTTACAAGAATCCCAGCTATGTTAATTATATTTTCCTAGGTCATACCACTGGCATTTTATAATGAGAGAAGCTTAGTAGGACTGTTAAATAAACACAGAGACCTTCGCCTCAAACTTATCACCTCAACTCCCCCACCCACCCCCCCAACCCCTCGCTGGGTGGCGTAACTGGCTCCGTCAGCCCCCCCCCCCAGCCAGGCTTTTAGGCTTACAGTTTTTATCTTATATAATATCTCAGACTAAAGTTAGGAGATTATATTTTGCATTGCTGGAATCCTTGCAAGACAGCCAATAATTTGAATATAAATGTCATATATTTTGCTCAAGAGATAAAAATTGTTGTACATTAGTGTACAGTACTGTAGTACATTTTATAAAAAAGTTTATCAACTGTATTTTTGGGTAGAGTTACATAGATTTCTTCATTTATTTTCATCCATTTACATGCACACACCATACTAAAAAAAACGTAATAGAAATAAATGACCTTAGTGCAAAGCTGGAGTGCACATGTACCAATTTGATTATGGTACTAAAATTGTTTTGTCTAGTGCAAATTATAGCACGTTTATATTAAAATTAATCAGTATGTTACAAGAATCCCAGCTATGTTAATTATATTCACCCAGGTCATTTCACTGGCTTTTTATAAGAGAGAAGCTTAGTCACCTAAGAACTGATAAATATACACGCGTTAGACCTGGGCCTGTGCCAACTGTCAAACGTACTACCTCCCCTCCCCCCACGCCCCCTCGCTCGCTCCCACCCTCTCTCTCCCTCATCTGCTTGGCGTTGCTGGAATCCTTGTAAAACAGTGAATAATTTTAATATAAACGTCATGTATTTTGCACAAGAGATAAAAATTAATCACCTGTATCACATTACAGTAGTGATTTAAGAGTAAAAGTGTATATGTAATTATATAGTATTCCACATACAAGTTAGTATAAATATAAAGTTTGTGATGATCGGACAATGTCCATTTCGGTTAACGTCACGTTTCCAAGAACGTATCTAGGACGTTAACCGGCACATGACTGTATATATATATATATATATATATATATATATATATATATATATATATATATATATATATATATATATATATATATATATATATATATATATATATATATATATATATATATATATATATATATATATGTAACCGGTCGGAATTTGCTGGACTTTAATTTCTCACTTGACTTGGGGTTTATTAAAATTTAATAGATGGTAAAGGCAGTGGAAGCGCCCCTTTGAGAAAAATCCCGAACCAGCACAAGAACACTTAAATCTACTACACAAAATGAACTGTCCGTGACCCGTGGAAGGATAGCGTCTGTGACTGGGATGAATGAGACACACTGTAAAATTTAGACACTTATATTCCCTCCAACACTACAAACACAATCAAATAATGGTACACCAATATGCGCACCTCTTAACTTAAACTTTAACCACTACTCTGGGGAATAAAAGTTATACATGACATAGAAATTATTAGAAACACAGGCAACAATAAATTTAAAGTATTAAGAAATGTTAATTGCACATATGAACAGGCCTTAAGGGCTTTCACAAAATAATATCAGTCACTTAGGAAATGGTACTAAAAAATAAGAAATTAAATACTCCACAATGAATAGGCCTTAAGGGTCTTCAACAAAATAATATCAGTCACTGAGGAATGGTAATAAAAGATAAGAAATTAAATACTCTACAATGAATAGGCCCTAAGGGCTTTCAGCAAAATAATATCACTCAACAAAATTATAGCACCCCAACAGGTGTACACTTCCTAACCTAACCTAACCACTGCTCTGGGGAACAAGGTTATACCTGAGATCAGAATTATGAAGAATTAGAGGCATTAAAAGAATCAAATCACAGTATCACTCTGGTTCCACTTAATGGCACAAACATTCAAAAAAACACTACTATCAAAATTATTTAAGAAATATTAAACTACACACGTCAAGATAATATCAGTCTGAGGAATGGTGTTAACTACACCCGTGATAAGGAAGATAAAATGTTCCTCTAGGTATCTCCTAGAGTCCTAGACTCACGGTCTCAGTGTGTGACCATTAATATACTCAGATAGCCTCAGTGTACTCCCAGTGCGTCCATGGGCAGGAAGAGAGTGAGCCAATCAGACCTTGCGCAGTTGAGAGAAACTTTAGCTTCCCGTTAGCAAGAGGGTTTCACTAGCTGCTCGGGACATGTGGGGTTGTGCACCGGAGTGGTAAGAACTGATCACCCACTGCTGATGCTGGTCCCGTGTCGTGTTAGTTGTCGGGAGCACTCGTTCACTCAAGAGATCCTTTGCTACCCCGCTAAACAGTGACAGGCCTACACTGATCGGTCCAATGGCGACAATCGCCACCCTC